AAGCTAAAACACATTGGGCTAAAAAAAGTTACCCCTAATAAGGGTCCAATTATCGAGTTCGAAAGAAGGGAAAAGCCGGAGGAGGAGAATCAAGTTTTAAAACTCCCGAACTAGTGGAACTATCAATCTTTTTCGGTCACCCAATCTGTTCCTCGGACTTCGCTTAAGTAGCTTAACTTCTGATAAAGTTTAAAGAAGATACACCGCAGTCTGTCATCATTATAGTTTTCTTAGCGCGCTTAGTTGAAAAGAAACGCAGTTTGACCAGTAATGATCTGGATTTTGGCCTTCATTCTTCTAAAAAAACTTCCCCCGAAGACGAAAATAAGCAATTGAAAAAGCCTCACGTTTACATCGGTTTACGGCTTAAAAAAGCCAGCAAGCAGGAAGCAGCTTGGCGGATAAACACCAGGAAAAATTAGTATCGGTTGCCGAAAGGGGCACACCGACACACCATTAATATAAACCATCTTTAAAAAATCGGCATTTTTCAGAAATCAATGACACCTTTCCCACGTGAACCCGATTCGTCAACGAAATGTCCAATGTTGAAGCGAGTGAAAGCCGAAAAACAAAATTACCTGTTTTTCCAGGCTCCACTTTAAATCTTCCTTGCGAGGTTTTAAGGCGATGAAAACGCAATAAACCAGAGAGCGCAGGAAGTCAAATAAATTCTCCCTTGTATTGCGGATTACCCTTATTATTTGTTTGTTCCCATCAACCTGTTTATCCCGCGAGATCAACAAAAAAACGAAGTTAAGCGATCTTTCCGGCTTGGGTGGGAATAATTTTGTGGGATTTTGTAAGCGCACATACATTCACATAAAGCTTGTAAATAAGCATTTTTTCCAAATCAGTTGCCTAATCGATCGCGCGCCAGTTGCAACATCCATTACATAATTGTAACGTTCCAACGGTTGTCTATTTCATTTTTTAAACTTACGTGCGCTCACGCTGACTTTAAAAGGAACGGCAACCGGTTAAAAGAGTCTTTTATGCCGGTTTTCAATGGATCAGCAAGCTCTCGTTTTTCCATTGACCGCCTTTAAATCTATCCGTGTTTTCAAGGAACGGAAAAAGGTTTTCCTGTTTGTAAGATATTCAATTCGTCTAGGATCCGCTACGGGCAAAGCTGTGCGGAAACATTCATGCCAGTAAGCTAAATTAATGAATAGTATGCAGAAAAATCACTGTCTAACACACGTAACCGATTCATCGATGAATTAAATTTTTATTAATTCCTGTGCATTTACAGGGTGTTTCCAATGCGAGCAGCAGGCTTATAACGCTACCTACATATGCAAAAAAAATTGTAGGTGTCTTTAATGAGAAAGTCTGTTTGCAGCCTCGGTTTTCGCTTTGAATGTGCTCGCTATAAAAATATACATAATTATTTAAGTTTGAAATTGGTCTCGCCTGTCGAAATCCTCCACTGAATAAAAAACGTCTTGCAGCAATTGAGTTCTCCTTTGTCAATATTAATTAATAATTATCTAACAACAATCCCACATTAGTTCTGTTCTTCTGTAGTTGTCTCTCTCGCAGTCATTGCAAATAACTTTTAGTCAAGACAAGACACTTTTTAGTGAATGCCGGCAATTTTAGACAACAAAACTAACAAATTAAATGATAATGACCAACGAACGCAAGAATTGCCAATTTAAAAAATTATCTGAGTTAATTAACTATTTTGAGTGTAGAAACCCAATGGAACAGGAAAAATGTAAAAGATAAAAACCAGCAGTTATAAAGCAAAACTTACTAAATTATTTAATTTTCTACGGTTGGTGACATTTGGACAGTGTAAATTTGCATATAATGTCATTGTAACTCACTATAAGCAAACTAAAGCAGAAACAGACAAATTGGTTGATTAACATTAATTAAGTGCCAGTTTTGATGAAAAATAAGCTTGAAGAACCCAAAATAGCCCGACTTTTTATGAATTCTAACGAAAACAGCGATTTCATCTAAATCAGTTTAACAAAATTAACTGACACTGACCGAAAACACTAGAGTATCAGCACAACATTGCAAACACAGAGAAAACAGAAAAAACTGCAGTTTCCCAGCAAAAGCCCCACCAATTATGTCGTTTTCTACAGTTGGTAACATTTAATTAAATGGCATTCTCCACTCGGCAGTTGTAAATTCGCCTCTAATGTCACTATCATTCAATCTAAACATGCGCGTAGTTTTAGTTACATAAAAGCACGAATTTAGTGAAAAGTTTAAAAAACTGGAAAAAGCTCGATTTAATAACTATTTATAACAGAAATTGCCGATACAGCAATTTGACTTTGTGAATGTGACAATTTTAGCATTTTTTTATTTTTAATACAATATTTATATCTGCATTTTAAGAATTTTTTTTATGGTTTTCTTCTGTTAAAAATCGCGAACTTTTAATTTATGCAATTTAGATGCATTGTGCTTAAAATAAACATTCAAATATCTTGAATTTTCGGCAATTATCAATATTTTTTGCATTAAATAGAAAATCATATTGCGATCAGCTTTTCTTAGTGTCGTTTCATGTGAAATTGCGGTTTTCGATGAATTTTCACTCATTACAATTCACACTGCACGAGCAAAAATCAATGTTTTATAACAAGTTGCCAAACTTCGATCAAAGTAGCAAATCTCAATTCGTCAATTCCCGTTTTGATGAATTTTGCGGTTCAATACTATCAAAAAGAAAAAAATAAAGGTCTAACCAAAAGCAATAAAACTTGAGGATATTCACCAAATGTAACCCAAATAAACAATGCAAGTACAAAGTATAGATTTGGCAAATGCGCGATTTTCTTCGAACTTGCGACAGACTGCGTAGATTGCGGTCTTATGGTGGTGAATTTCAATGAGCGAAATCTGCTCAAAAACCGTAGTTCCACAAGAAACACCCTAAAAGTCGCTAGTAAGTAAATCATCTATAAGGTGAGCATATTGCCGACGGGAGGGCTTAATAACCTAGATAATTACCGTATTTCCTACTCACTCTTTCAAGTGTTAAAAGTGCTAAAAACACAAAAAATTCGAAAAGTCACTAACATTTATCACAAACTTTCATAACTAATCCAGTTGGGTTTGAAAATCTGTTTAACCACCTGACCAAACCTGCTGTTACGCACCTCCACTTTCACACTTTCCATTTGTCATCGCAACAATTTGGTGTCATCCATCAATCCAGATCAAAATCCCAAGTAAATCCCGTTAAATTCCCGTGTAGAACAACCATAAACATGCAGCTGAATAAAAGCGATTCCGACCTCAGTTCGAACTCATCCTGGACCATCCTGCACGGTCCAGACTCACCATCCAGAACAAACTCCTTTGAGAGTGTGAGAAATGAGAAAGTCACCAAGGAGTTGCTCAACGAGGACATTGAAGCTGCGCATTCGGGTAAAAAGTGCCCCAGACCTGACTCAGGAAAAAAACAGCGGAAGACCAAAAAAACGTCCAAGAAACCCCGCTGTGATTATACGAATTTGCTATCAATCATCGCCTGTCTGTTCACTATAACTGGAATTACGTTGCTCACGACCCTTTTCCCGCCCCCTTTCACTGAATCGCCCACTTTGGATCAGCTGCAGCATAGTCTGGCCCAGGTATACGATCACGCTGATCACCCAACCCCAGCAAATGCTTCTGGTAGCATCCGGGCCACCATCAAAGCGATGGAAGTCGCCAATTCTCTGGACTTTCTAAGAGGAGTTAATGACAACGACTTCGACTACGAAGACCCAACTTGTGAGGCAACAGACCACTTCAATAACTCGCTGAAGATCCAAGTCATCGGCCCTTATCCAGACGAAGCGTTTCCAGATCCAGCGACGTTTCAAAGCAGCGAAGAAACAGTGGCGAACAATTCCAGATCTTTGTACGACACTGCAAAAGCGCTGCTGAAAAACTCCAGTTTGCAGATGTTTGTTGCCACCTTGATCCAGGACGTTTGCCTCATTAAGCTGATTAGCGAGTTCTCCAAGCGAACCAGAGATGAAGAAGAACCAGAGCACCCGGCTGAAGTGAAAAAAGTTCGCAAGCTCTTGCCAAAGAAGAAACCCATCAAATCCAAGAAGCTTTCGAAAGCCAAATTGTCCAAAGCCGAGTCTGCGAAGCAGAAAACTCCCTCGCCCGCGCCTGCAGACGAAAACGGAAAAAGTGAGTGCGAAAAAAGGTTCGAGGAGCTCGATAGCAGATGGTCGGCACTGGGGCAAAATCACCGCCAGAAAATCCAGCAAATCAAATCCAAGTTCAGCCAGGAGATCTCTCAGATCAAGGAACAAGAGGAAGAAGGCTTGAGCCGCAAGCAGAAGATCGACTTCACCAGAGAGAAGTTCCTGCAACGCCTCAAGTCAGACCGGGAGGTTTACCTGCGCAGGCTAAGAAAGCTGCGGGACGAAAGGCAAAAGGTCCTGAACGAAGTCTGCCAGAGCTTCAAGACATCGAGAAACCTCAGCTCCAAAGATGTTTCAGTGGGAAACTTTGCCGTTGTCTTGCCCAGCCAGTACAGTTTCACCCAAAAGCTGCAGGAAATCAAATCCAAGCAACTCGAAGCTGTGAACAACCAGTCCATAAGCTACGTGCCTGCAAGTGCCCCCGCCCCCATTCACGCAAAAACTTATGAAGAACTGAGGAAGAAATACGAGGAGAAACGGGCACGTTTGCTGAACAAACGACACATGAACAGGCAGCTGGAGCTTCAAGGCTCCGCAAAATCGTTGCTGGAATCGGAAGGCGGCAGCCAACAAACCACAAGCAGCAAGACGGGAAGCAAGAGGAACCTGAACGAGCTGTACGAGGCCGCATTTGAGCAGAGAAGCAAAAAAATCAAAAAGCAAGACCAACTGAAGTGGGCAAAGAAGTTTGAGGACTTCAAATGGACAACTCCCGATGTGCCACACAAGCAAATACACCGGAGAAAAATTCTACACAAGGGGCTGCTCTAAATCGGCTTTATCAATCTCAATTTTTTTCAAATGCATACGAATATAATATAATCAATAAAAACTGACTGAACTTTCACTTACCTTGTCTGGCGTGTTGTTATCCCTAGGCGATATGGGGGGAGATGAGCAGTTGCCAATTGTGGGCACTCCCAGCTCATAGATGTTGATCATGTGGGCTGCCTGGGCATGAACCATCAGATCCCAAGCATTCTGGAACGCATCCTTGCACTGCACGCATAAGAGTGCTGCTGTTGAATGTTCATCTATTGAAGACCCTGCAAACACGAAGTGTTGGATCTTAAGAATGGCGATAAAATGTTGCGGTAGTCATAATGTTTGCGCCCTGTATGCAGGTGAAGAAAGGTTTTTTTGCGGACACATGCGGTTAAATTGGAGTTTTGCAAAAGAGCTGAATAAAGACGAAGCCGTTGAAATGCGACGCCGCGCAAAAACGCAAAAGCGCTCATGGACAGCATGTTCCTGCCTTAAATGCTGCGCGCTATTGCCAAAACATACTAAAACTGGAAGACAGATTCTTAAAATAAATTAGTCTATACACCGAAGATTTCACATTCACGACCGAAAAAATCAATAAAGCGCTCAAAATTCCCTTCAACAGAACCAAACACTGCATTTGTTCATTGATAAATTTCATTCTCCCTCCTGTATATTTTCCGACCACATAACTCTGGAACGTAGCCGAATAGTAATGCTGGCTTATTCTATGCCACCTGAGTCTTCTATGAATTACTGCTCTTTAATCTTCTAATAGTCGCACTGCATTCGGCCACGAACTGGTTTAAAATGCTGTGACCATCAAGTTTCCAACTTGCTAAGGCGATATTTAAACTGAAATTGGCACGTTGCTGAATCTACAGAAGCTGAGAGTGAAATTCGTTTGTCACTAAACAGTTTCAGTGGAAATACTTACGCGTTTTACTGCTTTCGCATTTGCAGGTGAATCTAAGTTTGCAGTAGTTTTTCTTGTGTTCCAACAAGTCGTGGAGGTCGGAGAACATTTCGCGGCAATTTCCGCATATTAGGATGTCTTGATTGCCTGCAAAAAATACAAAAACATTTGATTGAAACGATGGAATGTTGCCGACAAAACTGTCAAGTTCGGGATTTTAAACATATTTCGAATTTAATTAATCTTTTTTCTTTGCTGAAGATGTTAAGTGAGACCGTCTGGAACTTTGCGCTCAAAGATTCTTCCATTTAATATTTACTGAAGAAAGCGGCAATTGTGAATAAATTACTTTTACTGTCGCGAATTTTTGCATGAAACAGCAAGAACATTTGCTTATGGCTCGATTTATGCAGACGGACTTTGCTCGTCGACAAGCTTTCACATAGTCAGGAGATCATTAATTCTTAGTGGAAGCGGCACTTAAAATTTGCCCAATTTTGCTACTTCGATACAGTTTATGTGTAATTTGCTTCACCTTAACAACGAAAATATTGTACTCAAAACTCTATTTGGCAAATTTAAAAATTTGATCCTACAACTGAACCGATTGCTTTTCGCAAATTTCTCACTTCTAAACGCCATGAAAGCATTGCAGATTGTAGACGACACGTAGTTCTGCGAATATTGAAAGTTTCGGTTCACGCGATAGCAATCCTGATCTTTAGAAAATTTTGAAATTCCGCCCCAAGAAGCAAGCCGTTTGCTTCTCAAAATGTTCACTTCTAACATTGAAAATTATCAAAATTTCAAACTTCACCAAGTCACAACTTGATATTTTACCCACTTAAAGAAACCACTAAAACCTTAAAAATCCAGAAAAATTCATTCAAATCCCATAAACGGACTAAGTGCTCCTTGCAAATCTTGCACCTCGGTGTTGCGAAAATTCCCACTTCCAGACTAAAAGAGGCAAACATCAAAAAATTTGTCTAGTTTTAGAAGACGCTTAAATCTACATTTGTGAAAATATCATTCGAAACCAACGCGAAATTGATTTTTGGAAAATTTTCAAAATCTGCTCTTGAAACTAGATTAACTCGCAATTGCCCGTCTGTCTTCAGAAAATTTTCACTTCCACACTGAGAGAACCAGACAGATAAAAATTTGACCACTTAAAGAAGACGCTAAAACTCCCACGTTCTGAAAATATCAATGAAAACCAACGGGAATTTGATTTTAGGAAAATTTTCAAAATCTGCTCCTGAAACTAGAATAACTCGCAATTTGCCCGTCTGTCTTCCAAAAATTTCCACTTCTAAACTAAAAGAAGCAAACATTTAAAAATTTGTCTAGTTTTAGAAGACGCTTGAACCTCAATCTTGTGAAAATATAATTCGAAACCAACGAGAAATTAATTTTTGTAAATTTTTCGAAATCTGCTTCTGAAACTAGAATAACTCGCAATTTGCTCGTCTGTCTTCCGAAAATTCTCACTTCCAAACTGAGAGAACCAAACATATAAAAATTTGGTCACTTATAGAAGACGCTACAATTCCCAGGCTATGAAAATATGAATCGAAACCAACGAAAAATTGATTTTTGAAAAATTTTCTAAATCTGCTCCTGAAACTACATTAAACCGCTTTTTGCTCGTCTGTTTTCCTAAAATTCTCACTTCACAATTGGAAGAAGTAAACATCTAAAAATTTTGTCTAATTTTAGAATACGTTTAAACGTACATGTTGTGGAAATATCATTCGAAACCAGCTCGAAATTAATTTTTGGAAAATTTTCAAAATTTGCTCCTGAAACTAGATTAACTCGGAATTTGCCCGTCTGTCTTCCGAAAATTCTCACTTCAAAACTGAGAGATCCAGACAGATAAAAATTTGGTCACTTATAGAAGACGCTAAAACCCCCACGTTGTGAAATTATCAATGAAAACGAACGCGAAATTGATTTTTGAAAAAATGTCTAAATCTGCTCCTGAAACTAGATTAACTTGCAATTTTCCCGTATGATTTTCTAAAACTCTCACTTCACAATTGATAGAAGTGAACTTTTAAAAATTTGTCTAACTTATTGATTTTTGGAAAATTTTCAAAATCTGCTCCTAAATTAACTCGCAATTTGCCCGTTAGTCTTCCAGAAATTCTCACTTCGAAGCTGAGAGAACCAGACAGATACAAATTTGGCCACTTAGAGAAGACG